TGATTGCAGCTCTCTGCTTCACGTGTGGGTGTGGGTCTGCTCTTTATGTTAGAGGAGGCACTGGATGAGTGTGAGTGTTTCAATAGGTGTGTGTGTGTGGAGAAGGAGGCGGAGAAGAGGCTTTGTCTCTATAGGTGGGTTAACATTAATAAATCCCTCCTCTTCTCACTCAAGTATTTTTTGGAACCGGTTATGTCCCCTATTATGAGCTCTTCTTTTTCTCTCTCTCAGTTCATCTCTTTCATTCACACCCAGGGTCCAAAATTAACACTTGTTAAATGCCAGATGAGAATAAAAATTGGCTTTGGTAACTAAGTAATAAAATGCCATGCTGCTTATTTCCTTGCTGTATGTGTGTTTGTGTGTGTGGGTGTGTTTGTTTAGATATTTACAGTTGAAGTCAGAATTATTAACCCCCCTGAATTATTAGCCCTCCTGTTTATTTTTTCCCTAATTTCTGTTTAATGTAGAGCAGATTTTTTTTTAACACATTTCTAAACATAATAGTTTTAATAACTAATTTCTAATAACTGATTTATTTTATCTTTGCCATGATGACAGTAAATAAAATTTTACAAGATATTTTTCAGATATTTATAAACCTAAATATAGTTACCTTCAAAATTAAAAAGGATATAATTCGCTTTTTTCCAAAATTATTGGTTTTATGTTATTTGACTTTTTTTTTTTTTTTGCATTTATGAGGTAAAAGGTTGGTTATGGATGTGACATCTCTCCATTATGGATGTGACAGATGTGAAATTGGCACTTATGTGATTTTGGTAAATGAAATATAATTGTTTAAATACATTAACAGAGACATATTGGAGTATTTTTAAAGCACTGTAAGATGCTTACAGTGTAAGATGCAAAAAAAGGTTTTGCTATTTTGTATGTTTTATGGCAAGGTTGACATTTGAATGGAATTGATTGTATTATTAGAATTGTACATTAGTATATGTAGTAATGTGCCATAAGTGTATATACGTAGAGTCTCATCTATTTTTTCTCATCTCATTTATTTTTTTACTTTTCCAAATTTTTTATCTTTTTACATAAATTAAATATAATATATGCAAAGTATATTTTGCATTGTTTTAATTAAATAAATGTTCTTTGTTTCATGGATATTAAATTTGCAGTTATTCTTCAGCTATTTTTCTTTAGCCATTTTTCTTTAGCTATTATTCTTTAGCCATTAACCCCCAAATTATTACTTAATAGTGGTTTCTGCCCCATTTTAATTGAGTTTGTTTTTAGTTTTTTAGTTTTGTTAGTTTCCTACCAATCAAAGTATATTTTTATATTAAAGAAATATTTGATATTTTTGTCTCTATTAATAATTGTAATTGTTTATGCATACAGAAAATTAATACATATGGTTTCACAGCTGGCTAGAGACATGTAGTGGCAGTAAATTTACATAATGTTATTGTCTGTCCCCCCATTTTAACATGCAGAAGATTATGAAGCGCAGTGTTAATTTTTTACTGTAATCTGTGTGTGTTTGCAGACCCATCCACTCACACCTTTTAATGCACAGTGCATGCACATTTCCTGTGGGGGCCTCCTCTTGTGTCCTTCATGGAGGCTGTAATTACACAGTGTTCTCTGTGATTTTTCACCCCTGAAGAGCCTGTGCTGAAGGAGCTGGTGGGAGAGAGAGAGAGAGAAAGGATGTGAGGAAGAGTGAGGCATTTAATGAGCTCAAGCTTTTCTCCTCAAGCCCTTCTACCTCGCATGCTAACAGGCTGAAAGACATGAATGTGAACTGGAAAACACACACAGCTGCATTTTTTTTTTTTACTATTAGCACACATGTATGGCCCAAAGCACACAGACAACCAAACACCCCAGCAATATGTGCTTGTTGAGCACTTATTAATAGGGATCCTGTCCTTCCTAAAAGGTTGTGCTCCTCTGGGAAGGCTTTACACTAGATGCTGTATGCTGGGTTTCACAGAAGTGAGGTCAGACACTGCTGTTGGCTGATGATGAGTTCTGACTCACTGTTCCAGTTCATCCCAAAGGTGTTCAAAACCTTTATATATTGATTTCATCTGTCCAAGAAAAGCATGTGCCGCAAACTGATAGAAGCATGCTGTTGTTGAGAATTTTATTGTTTGCTGTAACATTATAATGTGGCTTAATTGCATCTTTGTCCAGAGTTTGATTGACAAGTGGTCTTACCAGTGATAATTCCAACATTATTTACTCCCTGTTGCTGTCGTGTTATTATTGTTGCTTCCATTTTGCCTGACAAGCATTTTATTAAGTAAAGTTAGTTCAGTACATTACAGTACAGAAAATTTGTGTAAAAGTTTATGGCTTTGTAAAGAAGACAGCAGGTTCTCAAGTGGGTTGGGGGAATATACAATTTATGTTTATTATTGTCAAAAAATCGGTTTTAAAAGTTATTAAAGTGCATGGTTAGTTTGTTCTTTTAATTTTTTGTATTCACAAATATAAGTGATGGTTATCCTCTGTGTCATTTGCATTATCAAGTGGTCAACTGGTTTACCCTGTTATCTGCAGGTCATATCTAGGGCCAGACAGAATCTGTAGACATTTTTAGCTATTTCTGTGTAGAATTTTGTAAAAAATCTGTGGATTTATGCGGAATGATTTTTGGAGTATCATTACTAAAAACTTAATGTATGAAATAAAAAATAATACCATATTACATAATTACATAATTTATGTAATGTTTAAATTGCAAATTCAATTAGATCCACTTATTTGGTAAACAAAGCAAGTATCTCAAACATACCTGTCAACCCTCCTGTTTTTCCTTGGATTCTCCCGTATTTTAGAGTTCTATCCCTCTATCATCCCTGGCATCCGCTGATTCTGTGTGGGCCTAGTTATATCTGATAATCTTTTTTTTTTTACTTCGTTTTGCGGTACTTTTAAATCCTGAATAGATCATTGAATGCATATTGCAGACATTTCTTTTTGCTGCTGTCTGAAATCAACATGTGGGCTTTCCAAAAATGATTTGAAAACGTATTGGCAAGAGATTTGAAAAGTCAGTTAGAAGCCAAATCCATACTTTTGGCTTTGTAGACAGTTATACTGTAATTGTACTACTGTAGTCTAACTGTAATCCAAAAACAAAAGAACAAAATAAACAACAAAAAATATATTCTCTTTACTGAACACTATCAGAAAAAAGGGACACGGTGGTACAAATAATTTTCCTTGAGGAACAGTTTTGTACCTTTGTAAAAACTTTACCTTATGGTACAGAAAAAAACCTCTTATGATACCAACCTGTGCCTTTTAAGGTACAATAAAAATATTGTTCCCATAAAAAGGTACAAAATTGTTGAACAACTACTTCATTACAATATCTATGAAAATAAATATAATTAAAAAGGCAAAGTGATCTTATGAATAATATCCATATTAAAACGTGAATCGTCATTTAGAAGTATATGTTTAAAGAAACTCATAAACATGAATTATTATGTTCCAAAACGCAAAACAACTGGTAAAACAAAACTAAAGGTATTGTAAGCTAAACATTTAAGGCATTTTTAATAAAAGTTTGGTAAGCATTTTTGACACAATGGGCTCTATTTTGACGGTCCATGCGCAGAGCGCAAACGTTTTCAAGGTGTGTCAGAATGCATTTTTGCTAATTTAAGGACGGGAAAATCCGCTTTGCGCCATGGCGCATGGTCTAAAGGTGTTGAGTTTATTTTCTTAATGAGTTATAGGTGTGTTTTGAGAATAAACCAATTAGAGCCTCATCTCCCATTCCCTTTAAGAGCCAGCTGCGTCGCGCCGTAACCGTATTTTGATGTAAAGTAAGTTCACTTTCGCTTTTGCTCTCGTGGATAGGGAAACCTTTACGCACAGACATCAATTAGCCTATAAATAATTAATTTCGTTTGTCAAGCGCAAAGATTTGTTTCAAAACTATTTCTAAATTCAGTTCTATTTTTTAGCAAACGAATAAATGATTAATAATAACCAAGTGTGGTCAGTTATTTCCAAAAACACCTGCCATGCCCCATATGGTCTAACTCTAAAATTTGACAGGTGGACAAATCTCAGCTTGTTTTTAATAAAACAAATATAAATATGGATATGATAAATAATACTGCTAATAATAACAACATTATACAAAAGTTGAATGAATGAACTGAAAAAGCCTCCCGAGATGAAGAAAGTAAGGCAGTGGTTTTTAAATCTTCACGTAGGCTAGAAATTAATATGTTTTGTAATATTTTAATCATTTACATTTATATCCATTCCTGTATATATCCTTATTATATATATATTATATTATATATATATAGCCGGGTGTATGATAGGGCCCAAAGTGTCTTGTCACTGTGGTGGTATCCTTACTGGATCAGATTTGTACCTTTGATGAGGGTACAATATTGTATCTGCAAGTTTTTTTAAAAGCCAAAGGAACATTTTGGTTTCCCGTGGTACAAGTCATGTCCTTAAAGGTACAAACTTTAATGCTACAAATTTGTTTCTTTGTCTTAAGGTACAATACACACCAGTGACAAGGGTTTGTACCTTCTTTGGTACAACATTGTACCATTTTTTTTTTTTTTGAGTGTTGAAAAGATGTTTTAGATTAAGTCATCACACAAGACAGTTGCGATCTGTTTTGCTTTGGCTGGTAAAAAAAAAAAAAAATAATTGAACTACCATTAGTCTGTGGCAATGGCATACAGTAATAGTTTGATTTGACCTTCTTTTAGTAGTATGTGTATTTTTCACATTTAGTTATTCATCTAAATGCTGCTCTCAGTAGTGTGGGCAATGATGGAATATTTGCTAACTTTATAGTGCGTGTAGTTGTAAGTTATTTTCACTCTTAAATAAAAAAAGGCTTTTATTTTAAGTATATTAAATCCCACACATAACTTTTATGTGCTCATAATCTTTTAAAATATATACTTAATATCATGTTCAATACAGGATGAACATGTGACTTCTTTTCGCCTAACTTTCTGCTTGCCACTGTTATGCAGGGCTGCCCAGAAGCTGAACCTCTCCAAACGGAAGAAGCCTCAGCCACTTCCGCCATCTCCTCCGGACCCAGAAGAGCCGTTCTTCTACACTGATGGCTTCAGTGCCGCCCTGCAGCTCTCTCCCCCAGCTGTACCCCCGTGTCTCCTCAGGGCAGGGGCAAAGGTTAAGGACAGCCCTGGGATGGGAAAGGTATGCTAAAGTAATTTTTACCAATATTTGAAAAGTAATCTTTTTTTTTGTTCGTTATGAATTGTTCCGATTTAGAGGCTTTTAGATGGAGCAGGATCAAGGTAATCTTGAAGCCATGCCAACAAGATATTTTATACCATTTAATCAGTGCTGGTACAACAGACAAGTTGTAGTCTGTTAATAATATCTAACTACAATGACATTTGAAGTAAGAAGCATCATTAAGATTACACAGATCAGGTAGTGCACTTTTAGATTAGTCTTGTATTACTTTTGACAAATTTTTCACATTGTCATGTTTACTAACGATCTAACCTTCATAGATCGCTGGAGAACATTCATATTTACATGCTACAATCCTGTCTCTGTTTTTTTTTTGTTGTTTTACACTGTCTGCTGCCTGCCTTTTGACCATCTGCCTGTTGTATGACCACGACCCTGGATTTGCCTGAATACACCCGTTTTCCCCTGTGTTGACCATTTCTTGCCTGACAAACCTGTTTATAAAACCTGCATTTGGATCCGCATCCTGTTGTCATTATCCCCATTCATATTACACACATAGATTTCAATATTTGGGATTCATGGGTAACACTTTAAAAACTACACCCTATGAATCATTTATTAAGCATTAGAAAACTGGTAATTCATTATTTGTTAAGCATTAAGTCTACATTAATAAAAGTGATACCATTATAAATTATTACATTAATTAAATTATAAACACGAATGATTTACTAAAAATATCAAAGTCACAGATTTTTTAATGACAACTAAAGGGAAAATAAAACCCTTGAACAGTATGCTACTGTATTCATTTATCTGCATAGCTTGTAACCATTGGGCAACATAAAAAACCAAGAGCATGCCTTTGAGCGCTTCAAATATTTTAGTCTGGAAATTACATCATAAATTTGCTTTACAAAACAAAGATGACATTACATAATAAAAGTGTTATGTGAAGGGATACTGGACAACGGGGCAACGAAGGCAACGGTCAACAGATGTATACAGGCAATGCAGAGTCATGGTCATTAAACAAGGTGAATGGTCAGTATAGTCAGCAAGCAACATAAACAAACAAAGATGGCAAAGCAATGGAAACGTGTGGTAATGTCAAAGTACAGCTCAGATGTGTGTGTGTGTGTGTGTGTGTGTGTGTGTGTGTGTGTGTGTGTGTGTGTGTGTGTGTGCGTGTGTTGTATCAAAAGTCGATCCTCCAGCTGTGTGTTTGTGTGTGCGTGTAATCAAATTGAAACAGGAACTGGTGTGTACAAAGTGCATGACGGAATATGTAGTTCATGTAATGGCAGCTTTGTAGTCTGTTAGCTATTTAAAGCCATTAGATTGCTGATATTCATAAGAAAGTCTTCCAGGTTTGAAATAAAAGTGAATTATTTGAATCATTTTGTTTACAAAAAAAAAAAAGTCAAATATTGTGTAATTAATAAAAAGTAACTGTAATGATTTTAAATATTTTAGACATATATAATCTAATTACAAGTACTTAATTAAATTATGTAATCCCTAATCAGTTACTTCACAGCACTGTTCATAATTACAGAGATAAATTTCGTCTGTGTTAATAAAATGACATGACGTGTAAACCTCTGTTTGCCCTCTGCTCAAGAATTCTCTGTGGGTTTATCGATTTGGCTAGTTCTCTGGTTACCATCAAAGCAGACAGTGTGTGACAGCACGGGTCGCCCCAGTTGTCCTGATTCCCAGGCTCTTGGAATTCCAAGAAGCTCCTGTGGAATGGCAGACGGCATTCCTCACTGTAAGAGAGTGACAGGCTGAGGGAGTGGGAAAAGCACTGTATGAAAACAGACGGGTCAGAGAATGACATCAGGGGGCATTTGGATGAAAGACATATTTTTAGCTTGGAATAGAGTTGTTTATTGGTGCTGGACAGTCTGAGTGTGGAAATGCTTATGATATCACATTGGTATTTCTGTGTCTTGTTCTTGGGTTATGTGAGCATGGAACTTTTTGGTGTTACTGTAATATGTCTCATTGTATGAGAAACAATCAAAAAGCTAAAGATAAATAGGGAGTCAAATTAGTGTTCACACCAACAGATGATAAAATTCTACTTATAATAAGCATGTGCAGTGGTTCTATCTTCTGTTGGCTGGATTTTTGAGTGTTTTTCTGAAGTAGTTGTAAACAGTGTTGGAAGTGATATCAAACATCTTTCCTGTAATTTTAGTTATTGTGTGCACATTCATTTGCTTAAGATTTGCAGCAGCACTTTATTTTACAGTTCTGCTCTTAAGTACTTATCATAGTTACCTATCATGAAATGGGCATGAAGTTATAATAATGTACTGAGTTAGTGAGGTAGTGAGGCCAGCAGGGGTCGCTCAACCTGTAGTCAGTGTGAGTCCTATGCCCCAGTATAGTGAGGAGACACTATACTGTTAGTGAGCAGCATCCTTCGGATTAGTCTTTAAACTGAGGTCCTGACTCTGTGGTCAATAACAACCCAGGAAGCCCTTTGAAAAGAGTAGGGTTGTGTCCCTGGCATCATGGGTGTCCTCAATGTCCAACATGGCCTCCTAACCATCTCCATATCATAATAGGTTTCATCCTTTTCTCTCCTCCACCAATAAGCTGATGAGTGGGGTTGGGTCTGGCACAGAAAATACTGCCATCTTTTTAGGTGGATGCTGCTGATGCTAGTTGAGGAGATTTCCCCCTCAAATCTGTAAAGCACCTTGGGAGCCCTGAAAATTGCTATATAACTGTATTCATTCATTCATTTATTCATTTTCTTTTCGGCTTAGTCCCTTTTCACCTACTGTATACCACATGTTTTTGATTTGCCGGGGCTCGAACCAGCGAACGTCTAGCTGTGAGGCGATTATGCTACCCACTGCGCACTGTGCTACTATGTACTGTAATGAATTATTAATGAATTATTATTTAACAGTATTTTTAAATGGAATTTTTTAAATATTAATTGAAGCATTTAAAATTCTGAAACAAAATGAAAATCTGAACATTTTTTCTTTCGAGAATGTAATTTATTTTCTTCAGCAGAATTCATATGAATTGTAGCTAAAATCATGTTCACTGTGAAATGCAAATTAACTGTCAGCACTCTGAGAATTTAAAAAAACAAACATTAGCAAAACAGAATTAATATTTATGGCTACTGATGAAACATTCACAACTTATTTAGTGAAATTACTGGTCTGAATATCATTATTTCCATAGCATTGGCAAATTGTATAGTGTAAATTGTCTCCAGTATGAGGTGCAAACCTTTTGTTGTGGAAAGATGTTTGATGTATATCAAACTCTGGCCGTTTGAGAAAAGCCAGTATTTCTAATTAAAACTGTGCAATATTTAATTAATTAATTCGTTTTTTTTTTTTTTTTTGGCTTTGTCCCTTTATTAATCAGGGGTAGCCACAGCAGAATGAACCGCCAAATTATCCAGCATTTGTTTTACGCAGCGGATGCCCTTCCAGCTGCAACCAATCACTGGAAAACACCCATACACTCTCATTCACACACATACATAGCATTTGTAATGAATTTTATTATTTAATATATTTTTTCCCCTTCTAAACTCTGTATCTTCAGGAGCCACTAATATTTAGTTTTTCATGTGCATGTGTTTTATTTTAATGCCAGTGCGTGGTGAAATTGTATTTTATACATAAACAAAAGAACTACGATTTCGAATTAAAATCTTTCTTAATAATCTACTGTAGGATTAAAAGTCACTCATACATCTTGAATGGAATGAGGATGAGTAAACTAGCAGATCGTTTTAATTTCTGGGTCAACTGTCCCTTTAATTATCCAATATCATTCAATTCAGTTTCTAATATAAGCCTGTTATCACTATGGTCTTGATTTATATGTAATACATTACATATGCAGTCTTATGGCAATACAGGAACGAGTTAACCATAGCATGTATTTTGTCTATAAAAACCCATATGTCTAAGTGTCTGGACAGTTACTATGATCACTGTCATGCTGAAGTATGCTGGTACCCATTAGGCAAAGCACTTAATCCCAGGTCACTCCAGGGGGACTATTTCTGCCATTAGCGTACTTTAAGTCACCATATATTGAGCATCTGCTTAATATTAACTTGCTAAGCATAATGAGCATGAGGTCATGCCCTTTCACTGAATCATCCATACATGTACTTCTATATCTTGCCATGTGACTGACAGTTATACTATATATATTCCCTCATGGGACTTTCTAGAGCCTCATGAGCATCTCAGAGTGTTGTCACTATTTTGGGTAACAAACTCATTCCTATCCTTAACACCCCCTGGAGGTCTAAAAGCCATGAGGATTGTGCTGACCCACATCTGACCCTCCTCCAGCACAGGTGATGCTCTCTAAATAAATTAAAAGAGGAAACCCATTGCAAACTGAAAAAATTAACTTGATAAAACTGCTACATAAAAGAAACCAAAGGACTGATGAAAATGCTAAATATTTATATTTTATATTTATATTTTTAAATATTGTATGGGACAAAATACTTTTCGATTCAAAGGGGAATGGGTGGTCAACCTGTCGTTCCATATGTTTATTTGGCAGTATAACACTTAAGATCATGATATTTAAACATATCAAATGTGAGAAACGTTATAGCAACTTATTGATATTTGATGAAGGTCTCCGTGCAGTCATTCTATTGAGTTATTTTTCCCCACGGCATAAACAGATGTGCCATTTTTATAGACTTTCCTCAAGTCAATACTTTTCAATTAAAATTTACCTAATATTACTAGTTTTATTTGCATTGATTAGAAAACATTTATATTAAATATTAATACTTACCCCAACACCTTGACGGCCCTTTTTGGTATTTCAGAGTGAGTTGACCTGAATGTTGCTTCTAAGAAATGTATTGCTTTTTCTACTCTTTCTACTCTTTAGCTAGATGAGCAATTCCTATCAAGTGGAAACAATTACTTCTTCCATCACATGACATGTGGATCAGAGAAATCTTTAGCTGCATAAAACTTGAGAAGTTAAGATGTTTGCTTGCAAGATCTCTCAAATCTTTTCTCAAGACCTGGAATCCTGTTTTAGAATATATCAAAGGCTTACCCTGTTCAGTTGATATCAGCTTTAATACACAGCAAATAACTGGAAAGATTGACTCCTTAATGTGAAGTACCCCCCCCCCCCCCCAGAAAAAAAAGTTTACTGTTAACTTGCTCAATTACTATTATTACTTTTATTATTTAAACTGATAAATTTCTTTTTAATTTTTATTTCTTTATGTTTTTTACATTAATTTTTATAGTTTTTTTTTTCTCTCCCAGAGGATATGTTTGTTTTTAAATCATACATTTTATTTATTTTATTTTTTAGAAGAAAATAAGAAAACAGTCTGTAATTTTTCCTATGTTGTATTGTATTCTAACATATGTATGGTCTTGTTAAACACTGATAAATAAATAAAAAATAATATTCATTTACACACAAATCAAGCACAAGTTTCAGACACCATCTTTCTTTCTTGTCAGAAATGGAATGCACAATGTGGGATATCAAAGAGGCAAAAATTAAAGGACAATTGTTTTTTTCAAAAAAAAATTTTACAACAAAATACATCAACATAACATTTAGAGAACATTTTAGATTTACAGTTGTACACAAAATATGCGTTTTTATTTTAGAATGCATTTCTTCTAAATAATTTATATTTTAATTAATTGTTACTTTAGATTGCCAACAACAATCTATTTTGAGGTTGGAAGTGTATTTTCTTGACTCAGAAATACATTTTCAAACACGTTATTTATTTTTTTTACTAAATATATTTAAAATTTATTTAAAATATATTTTAGCTACAACAAATATGTTTTTTATTTTATGAAAAACCTGTACCAGATAAAGGTGTCTCTGGAGACAGGAAGTAAAGCCAGATTAGTATTTGGATGTACTTTAATGCTTTCCTACCTTCTTTCAAAGGCAGCAATTTTCAGCTTTTCGGACACAGCCTGTGACAGACTGCTGACTCATAAACATCAGCTGGTGTTATGGGTTTTATGATGACATCATGTCTGCTGGGAGATGATTGGCTGATTTAGAACAGTGAGGTTACCTGACATACATCTCAAGAGGAATCAGATTATTACATAATCATATCCTTTGCTGATGTGAATAAAGTATTTCACATTCTTTTAATTGAGCACCTGATTGTGTTGATGCATTGTGCAAACACAGCATTTAAAAATATGCTCCATAGACAATAAAAGTTTTCCAAAGTCAAACCAAAGGCAGACAGCTGTGAGTTTTTAATGAGGTTTATCATGGAAAAGAGAGTGGAGTGATTGCTAATAAGCTTTGAAGTTGAAGTGAGTCTCATGCTGATTTTTAGGCACTCGTGAAGGAAATGGATATGAGCACACTTTTTTGGGGGGGGGGGGGGAAGGAAATGTCAAGGTCCTTAGAAGATGGCAGGTGAAGAGGAACTGATGATTGTGGGAATATGGTGGGAGTCTAGTGCGAGTAATGAATATTAATCTGTGTAAAAGTTACTGACAAATGGCTGTGTTTGTATTCAAAGGGAATAAGAGATTTGGATGATGTCATATTTATATTTTCATTGCAACTACCACTGTAGAAAATAAATCAATAAAATGTATTTGAACTGCATAATTAAAGAATGACAAGTTATTTTATGTAAAATTCAAATATAAATATAATAAATAATATTAAAAATAAATATTAATTTAGTAAAAGCTTGCTTGAAGCTTAAAGTTAAAAAAGGGTAATTTATTATTTTTTTTTATTTAGATTATTTTATAGTAATATTTATATCTGTCATTTAAAGCATTTAAGGTGCTTAACATACATTAGTTGCCTTAAACTTGGAATTTAAAGACAAAAATAATTTTAATCAGTCTCTAAGCTGTTCTTTTGCAGTACATGTTAATCACTTTCTGTCAGGTTCAGTTGCAGTTATAAGAGATACAATTTTCTAAATGAAAACTACTTATAGTCTAGCACGTCTCATGTAGAAGTGTTAAGTTGTAAATAGGTGTGGAATAATAACCGGTTTTAATATTTTTGCAGCAGTTTGGAAAAGTCAAGCTTTAAAGCCGCTAAAATTATCTTTATTTTCTTGGAAGGGAAAGCTTTGTCTGTCACAGCTGTAAATGTCAGTTTGAGTAAGGAACTTAGAGATTCTGAGAGATGCTTATTGTCGGCCAATTGAATTCTTCATCTCAGCGGAGGACTGTAAACTTCAGGGGCTGTTTGTTGCTGTCTGCTCTGAAAGTGTCCCTAGTGGCAGAGCTATAAAATAAGACGTTAAACACACAGTCAAGTACATTATTGCTTCATTGAATTGGTGTGATAATGAATTGCTTTGCCTCAATCATGCAGGATGTGTTGTTTCAGTTTGCTATAATTCATTTGCATGTATTTGATCACTGTAACAAAAATGCTTTAGCATCTGTAAATTACAGTAAAATGTTAGATTCATCATGGGTTTCACAGGGATTATAGATGCACTAACAGACATACAGTTTTGGCCTCATGTTTGAATTTGATTGCTTGCTCTGTAAAAAAATAAATAGATAAAAAATTATATATATATATATATATATATATATATATATAAAGAACTATACTAAAAAGGCTACTGATGGTAAATAAACAGATGTTGTTTATTATTTCATTAATTGATTGATGTCTTGACTGACTGAAAGTACATTTTAAATAAAAACTACAATTATAAACAGCAAAAATGTGTTTTTTTATGCAAATATATATATAATTGGCCAACTTCTGCCAGGACATTTCCTCAAGAAACTTTTTTTAAACAGATTTCCTTTAACAGTGTATAATAACCAAAAGCATTAATCTTAAATACTGCTTGTCTCAATACGCGGTTTCTGTACGCTATAAGATTAATTTCCTTTGTAAAAATTTCCAAATACAGTGATGAAAGCCAGTAATCCAGACCTCAGTATCAAAATCCTACAGAAATCCTTCTGAAGATTTCTTAATATCATCATTGTTGTGCTGCGTACTATTTAATTAGATGTCTGTCTGTTTCATTTTAAAGGTAACGTATTATTCCCCAATTTTTACAAGATGTAAAATAAGTCTCTAATGTCCCTAGAGTATGCATGAGAAGTTTCATCTCAAAATACCCCACAAATAATATTTTATAAGTCTATAAAAACTGCACCTTTTTGGATTTGATTCAAATTGTGGCATTTTGGTAATTGTCACTTTGCATTAAAATGAGATTGTGCTCCCAGTGCCATTTTTAAAAGTGGGCAGATAAATGTTACAAATGTCTCTGCATCAGCATAGTGGCATCTCAAAACTCCCCATTTATAATGACTCTTAGTCGCAGACATTATGTTTGGGAGGTAGGACGTGAAAACTCTAATGGCGAATGGCTGCTTCTCACTTAGGGCTGTCTATGCTAATGAAATAAGGGAGAGATCATTACTTAAGTCTGGGACTGTCCCCCTCTGATGACGTGTACAAAGGGAGAATTGCATTTAAAGTGTTTCTGCAGACTATTTTTATGAAGTGTGATTATAAAAAAAAAAGAATTAATAAATGTTTACTTTTAGAGGTTGGCTATACTCTTGCACTCTTGCCCCACAACTGTGTTTATACTCCTTATAAAAGTGATTTTTTTTTTTTTTTTTGCATAATAGGTCCCCTTTAATATGAAATGTCTAGCCAAAACATGGAGGGTCTGTTTTGTAAATCCAGACGCACTTTCCAACAGGATGTTCCCTTTTGTAAGCAGAAGGGTTTGGAAATCTCAGCATCCATCTAACACTGATTACATGCTTCCACACTGCCAGCATGAGGGGGAATCCTTGGCCAGAAAACTGAAAGATATTATTCATGCAGCAAACCACTCAATAATTGTGAGAATAAGTGGGTGGGAAGGTGCAATTACAGCCGTATTTTTTAAATTCAAAAGGAGCTTGTTGCAAATACAATGATGTAAGTGTATAATTATGATATGAATGTAATTTTGTGCCTTGCAGGTGAAAGTGATGGTGCGACTATGTAATGCCAAAGGATCGAGAGACACCTCAGAATCCATGTCCTTTCTCAAAGTGGACGCCCATAAGAAACAGCTGACGTTTTGTGAGCCGCCCATGTGTGCCCGCACCGCCTCTGCCAACGCCCCAAAGATGTTTACCTTTGATGCCATCTTTACCCAAGATGCTTCCCAGGTACAGTGATAAATGCCTCTATTTGGAAATCAGAGTCATGAAAGTAAATAATCTGCAAGTTCTGCCAAGAAATTGTCCCTATTTCCTTTCTTATACTTCATTTTGAGCACAAATCTACATAGAATTACTGTCAAACAGACAGGACATTCATTCTGAGATCAAAGCGAAGTGTAAGGGAGATATTCGGTTTGGCTTGGTGTGTAAGGGAGATAAAAGGTTTGGGTTGGTGAGCTGGGGTTATCGTTCTGAGCCCACAGTGCCTGCAGGGTCCTCAGAGGAAACCGATAACAGAGCTCGTCTCTCTTCTTCTTCCTGAACTCTTTGAGAGTTTGGAGTCTTTTGGTTTCCTGTCCTAGAAACATCAGGTCTGATGATCAATGACTACCCCACATTGTTCAGAACAAAGGAGGCTTTGAGCGAGCACACATTAGAGGTGGTTTTTACAACAGCGCTGTCAACACTTTCCTTAGGCTGAAAAATATACACGCATAATTTCAAGTTTGAAATCTTTATCAGTGTTTTTCTTGGTTTTGCATCTGTTTGGAAAGTTTGCAGGAAGGGCAAAATGACACGTGGGGATTTACCTGCCGATTGTCAATGCTGACCTTTTTTTGTTTGATATTTTGTATGTTTATCTATTTGGCATTTTATCTGCTTATCTGTCTGCCATTTTGTTTATTTATCTGTCAATCTAATATTTAGTCTGTCTGCCATTTTGTCCATCATTTTGTCTGTTTTCTGTCTTTGAGTTTGTCAGTAATTTTGTCTGTTTTCTGTCTGCCAGACATTTTATCTGTTTATCCATCTGTCTGTCTGTCTGTCTGTCTGTCTGTCTGTCTGTCTGTCTGTCTGTCTGTCTGTCTGTCTGTCTGTCTGTCTGTCTGTCTGTCTGTCATTTTGTCTATTTATCTGTATATTGGAAGTTATATTGATGTATCTGTCTTTCTGAAGTTTTATGTATTTATCTGTCTGTCATTTTGTCTATTTACCTGTCAGTCTGATTTTTTGTCTGTCTGTCTGCCTGCCTGCCTACCTGCCTGTCTGTCTGTCTGTCTGTCTGTCTGTTATTTTGTCTGTTTATCTGTCTGCCAAACATTTGTCTGTTTATCTGTCTGTCTATTTGTGTGTTGTTTTGTTTATCTATTCGTCTATTGGATGTTTTGTCTGTCATTTTGTCTATTATTCTGTCTGTCTGATGCTTGTCTTTTTTGTATGTTTGTCATTTTGTCTGTTTATCTATCCATCTATCCATCCATCTTTATTGATTGATCATTCTATTTATCCATCCATATTTATTGATATTTCTGTCTGTCTATCCATCCATTCATGTCCCTTGATCCATCTATTCATGTCCATGAATCCATGTCCATCCATGTCCATCCATCCATCCATCCATCCATCCATCCATCCATCCATCCATCCATCCATATCTATTGATATTTCTTTCCGTCCATCCATCCATCCATGTTCATCCATCCATCCATCCATCCATCCATCCATCCATCCATCCATCCATCCATCCATATCTATTGATATTTCTGTCCGTCCATCCATCCATCCATGTTCATCCATCCATCCATCCATCCATCCATCCATCCATCCATCCATCCATCCATATCTATTGATATTTCTGTCCTTCCATCCATCCATCCATGTTCATCCATCCATCCATCCATCCATCCATCCACAGTTCTGTGTTTTTGTTTCTATTCTGTCATTCTATCGATAATTTTTTTTTCATTCTGCAATTATGTCTGTTCATCCGCCATTCAGGTTATTTGGTGTGTTTTTCTTTTATTTTGTCATTTGGTCTGTTTGTATGAATTATAAATATGTACAAATTGAACAGTTTGAATTTGCATTAAATGCTTTTTTTTTGTCATCAGGCGGAGGTGTGCTCAGGGACAGTGGCAGAGGTTATCCAGTCTGTGGTCAATGGGGCAGATGGTTGCATCTTCTGTTTTGGTCAAGCCAACCTTGGTTAGTAATTATCTCTTTAACCCACATTTTATGGTCATTAACTTTATTGTTATGCTATCCCACCTCCTTCTTTCACAACTCCTCATGCTTTTACAGTTAATGCATTGTTAAGAACCCATTTTTAGATGAAGTAGCCATTACTGACAGTTAGCGAAAGGAAAAGGGATGCGAAATACACTAATGTTCTGGCAGCATTTAAAACTGGCTAATAAGGAGGCAGAGAAAGTGCTGGGAGGGCATATGTCTGTGAGCAGTAATAGCGGTTTGTTGAACACAAAGTGCCCCCATTTTACACTTTGAGTTTGAAAGTGCTCAGTTTCTTTCTCTCCTACTCTCTTTTTTTCAGCCCCTCACTGTGAGAAACTGTGTGCCTCCCACTGTGCTTTTTCAATCCCCCATAGTTAGCTTGGCTTCTCATTTACTCTGCCTTCGCACAGTATATTCTCTTGTGACTAACATCCATGTGGGTTAATTTTATTAGCTTTGGGACGTTTTACATGCACTGTGCTATTATGAACACAAATCCTATTATAGACATCCGCTTATATCATTTTGTAGTTAAGTCAAGCTAAGTTAATCAGCTGACATTGTAATGTTTTTCAATTCTGTGATGACAGATGTTCACTTATTTTATTACATAACTGTTTTTAGTTAAATGCTGTAAGAGCAATGAAGGGGCAATTAAAACACAACCACATTTAAAATTCTGTTTCCTCAGTCTTGAAAGTTGCAAATTTCATTATGGCTGATTTTTAACACTTTACTTTTACCTCACAGGCAAAAGCTACACCATGATCGGCAGGGACAGCTCTACACAGAGCTTGGGTGTTGCACCCTGCGCAATCTCTTGGCTCTTCAAGCTCATTGAGGAAAGGAAAGAGAAGACCGGCACAAGATTCTCCATTCGAGTGTCTGCTGTGGAAATCTGCGGCAGAGAAGAGGTGTTGAGAGACCTGTTGGCTGACTTTTCTGCAGGAACTTCACAGGACAGTCAGAGTGCAGGAATTTCTCTGCGAGAGGACCCAGTCTGTGGCTCTCAGGTGAGTTCGAGATTGTTTTTCATTTGTGATAATCTACACAGTGTTTCTGTTGCTCAAATAATAGAGTCTGGTGTTCATGAGCTTGTTTTCCTTGAAAGCATAGATTCATTCTTTAAAAACTGAAACATAAGTTATGTGTTAGGCTGGTGGAGCATTCAGTTGCATACCTCTCGGTGGACCCTGACACACACCATGGCTTACACACAAGGGCGTAGTTTTGCTCTTGACATTGGTGGGGACATACATCCCTAGAGCTGCAATAAACAGCACAAAATCTGTTTTGCACTTTTTAAAAAACATGAATAAAGTAGTTAATAATATAACATAAACACTTAATATTACAATTACAGCAACAATCATGTCCCATGCTGCAAAAGTTAAATTACATGATTTTACTGCAGTCAGGCTTTGAGGAGGTATGAATGTACAGAAATTTAGTTGTGCGAAGCAATTTAACCGTTTTATCCCGGTTATTGTTTCTCATAATCATGGCCAAAATCAAATTCAAATTTTGATTAATTGCACAGCCTTGGTTAATAATATTACGATGAACTCGAAGCGAACGAGACTTTGTAGGTTACTAAGGGCTGACGGAGCATTATTTTATTTTGAAGTCGATTAAATTATTGGTAGGGACATTTCAGTAATTGGCAAATATTGGTGGGGACACATCCCCTCCATCCATACCAATTCTACGCTCTTGCCTGCACCTCTCAAATATTTAATTACATGTCATGATGATGCAGAGCACAAGATCTGTGATTGGCCAGCTTGGTAGCGGTGATGAGTGTGGTAAGGGAACCATGGGAGCACAGCGAGTAGTGTTTAAAAAGTGTCAAGACCCATGGAGGAGCTTCAGAAGGATACTTTTGTTTTGTTTTTACTTCACGATTAAAGTTGTTGAATGTTCACCAGTTCCTGCCTCTTTCTCCCTTGAATGAGTGTGAGTTTGAGCTGCTTGTACAGTAGCATCACACACAATTTTCTGGTGTAAACTCAAAGCACTCAATACAGTTGAACATAAAAACCTCACTGCCTACTAGCATTTCAGAAGTGCTGTTGCAGTACAGATATATAACAGAAGTATAAATGCTAACAACAACGTTGGTGACCTACGATGTATGCGATATTAGGTACAGCGATTGCTTGATACAGAAATATAAATCAGGCTTTACTGTCACCTGTGATCTAGTTAGTGGACCCTTGCTTTAAAAAATGCATTACTTTCCTTGGAACAAACATATCTTAATGACTTGAAACTGAGCATAGTATATGCAATTCACCTTTTCTTGGCTACAGTTCATTACATTTATGCACTAAGTAGATGGGTTGCATTCAAGGTATATAAGTCTACATTTTATTATTCTTTCGTTGAAATTTTAATCCATGTCCTTGGCATTGCTCTCCTAATTGAGCTACAGCAAATTCTATAAATACAGCAAATTGCTTCTGTGTTATTCCCCTATTCATTTTTTATTTTACTCATACTCACTTTTTGTCCAGCTGCAGAACCAGAGCGAGTTGCGGGCATATTCAGCTGAGAGAGCGGCATTCTTCCTGGATGCAGCTCTGGCAGCTCGTAGCACCACCCGACCTGACTGTAAGGAGGAGGATCGGCGCAATTCTCACATGCTCTTCACACTGCACATATCCCAGTACCGCATGGAGAAGAGCAGCAAAGCTGGAAGTATGACTCTCTGTGTTCATTTTTAATATTACTGTAAGAAATGTAAATTAGAACAGTCTAACATCATTTTGGAAACATAGGTGTGGTTGTTTGCTCTTTCAAGGGCACTGTCTTGTTTAGAATTAATGCTAATAGGATATTCTAAACAGACCTCTACATCTAGACCTTAGGGGATTAATTCACCGACAAATAAACATTTACTCATGATTTACTCTGCATCAATCAATTAACCTTGATTCCTTTTTATATTTTGTTGAACACAAAATAATTTACTATACAAAATCATTTAGCGGCACCGTGGCTCAGTGGTTAGCACTGTCGCCTCACAGCAAGTCGGTTGCTGGTTCGAATCCCGGCTGGGTCAGTTGGCATTTCTGTGTGGATTTTGCATGTTCTCCCCTTGCTTCCGTTGGTTTCCTCAGAATGCTTCGGTTTCCCCCAAAGACATGCGCAATAGGTGAATTGAATAAACTACATTAGCCATAGTGTATGAGCCCAGTAGGTACACAACATCATAAAACCTCAATACTAGGTTAGATTTAAGTCATGACGTCAGGGGATCAAAATTCAGTGACTAGCCAGCATCTACGGATGTCTTTTGACGTCCAATAACGGCGTCAAATCATGTTAATATTTGGTTGATTTTAGGTTGTGTTGGAAAGTGGAAAGAAATCCGACGTCTGATAAATGTCACAGTGGTAACGTCCACACAACAACAAGGTGTAACATGATGAGACGTTGATACTTGGTTAATTTTTGGTTAATTTTAAGTTAGAGATTGGACGTTGGCTTCTGACGTCAACCTGATTTTCATTTCCAAACAAAATCCAATGACTCTATATGACGTTGGCGTACATTGTAGTACAATGTTAGTATGGCGTCATGTTGACGTCCTGTGCCTGCAGGGAGTGTGTGTGCATGGGAGAGTGTATGGGGGTTTCTCAGTACTGGGTTGCAGCTAGAAGGGCATCTGCTCTGTAAAACATATGCTGGAATAGTTGGTGGTTCATTCCACTGTGTCAACCTCTGATATATCAGAGACTAAGCCAAAGGAAAATGAATGAATTGTTGGATCCGGTAACCATTGACATCCATAGTAGAAAAAAAGAACGGTTACTAATTTCCATTTTTCAAAATATATTTCGTTATCAATATGAAACTCAAACAGGGTTGTGATGAGTGAAGGGTGAATAAATGATGACAGAATTTTCATTTTTGAACTATACCTTTAAAAGGCACTTCACCTCCACCTTACAAATTAAGTTTTACCTTCCTATCATTAGTCCAAGAAATCATATCATATATCTTTATGCATCATTAGTATTTTGAGAAGACTGCTACAGAGAATGGCCGATACCTGACTTTTCCATTATCATGCTCACCATGTTCACAGAGAGTATCAGTTACCTCAATTTAGTCCTGCTGATAACGGCTCTGAGAATGCTAACAAGAAGGGTTAGCCTATTTCATTACTGGGCGTAGCCATCCTGTCAAGTCAGCATGTCAACATTAGCTTGATCATTAGTATTGCACTCCTGTCGCTGCAATGCGGGCTGGGTGCTGGCCATTGACACTAGCCAGAATAGATTTTAATATGTAATGAGGCTGGATTCCCTTCTGCGGAGATGTTTATAGAGCCCAGCATGAAATGAGAAGCTCGTTTGCATTCCTGCTCCACAGAGGGCTTCGGTTCCGAGCGCTGGCTTTGTAAATCCTGCCGACGTGAGGTTAATGGCTTCCATCTCAGTGTGAAATAAAAGCATCTCCTGTAATGATACTGAATGAATTTTAGTCTAGTGACCTACATGGGAGTGTAATCTAACTAGCTGTACTTACTTTTATTGCTTGCTGTTTGAGAGACTGCCAAGGATATTGAATCACCACTTACCTTGCAGAGATCCTGTATCAAACTGAAGTCTCATAAGGTCTCCTGAAATAATGTGACGTGCAGTACCTGTGGCCTTTTTGATAATCAAATAATTTCAGTGTAATGCACAGAGACAACTAAGCCATTATACGTTGATTTTTATATGTTGCTTTGTTTGTTTGAGTCGTCTTACAGTATACTGTTTGTGTAAAACAAGACAGAATACTGTTTTTATATGAACTTTGATATTTATATGGTTTTTCATGGGGACCTATGGTATTTATGCAGTTAGGTCTATAAATATTTAGATATCAACACAATTCTAACATTTTTGGCTCTATACACCAACACAATGAATTTAAAAATGAAATGAAGATGTGCTTTAACTGCAGACTGTCAGCTTTAATTTGAGGTTATTTACAATTAAAGCATGTAAATGGTGTAGTAAATACAAAAGTTTGCATATGTGCCTCCCACTTATTAAGAGTCCAGAAGTAATTGGACAGTATAATAATTAAAACTCAAACCTTCACTTTTTAATACTAACTTGCAAATACTTTGCAGTTAATTACAGACTAAAGTTTGGAACACAGACATCACCAGGCACTGAGTTTCATTCCTGGTGATGCTCTGCCTGGCCTCTACTGCAACTGTCTTGAGTTCCTACTTAATCTTAGGGCATTTTCCCTTCAGTTTTGTCTTCAGCAAGTGAAATAGGTCAGAGGATTGACTTGGCCATTGCATAACATTCCACTTTTTTCTCTTCAAAAAGTCTTTGGTTGCTTTTGCAGTATGCTTTGGGCCATTCTCCATATACACTGTAAAGTGCAGATGGAAGCATAAAAATATATAAAAATATATAAATAAAAAAGCATTTAGCTTAATATGAGCAGAAAATATTGCCTGAAACACTTCAGAATTCATCCTGCTGCTTTTGTCAGCAGTCACATCGTCAATAAATACAACAGAACCAGTTCTATTGACAGCCATACATGCCCACGCCATGTCACTACTACCACCAAGCTTTACTGCTTAGGATCATGAGCAGTTCCTTACCTTTTCAATACTCTTCACCTCCCTCAACTGGAACAATCCCTGATCTTGATCTCATCTGTCCATAGGATGTTGTTCCAGCACTGTGAACGCTTTTTTAGAACTCTAATCTGGCCTTCCTGATTTTGAGACTCACCAATGGTTTTCATCTTGTGTTAAACCCTCTGTATTCACTCTTGTGTAGTCTTCTCTTGATTGTTGACTCTGACACACATACACCTACCTCCTGGAAAGTGTTCTTGATCTGTCAAACTGTTGTGAAGGGTGTTTTTTTCACCAGGGAAAGAATTATTTGGTCGTCCACCATGGTTGTTTCTGTGGTCTTCCGGCTTTTTTGGTGTTGCTGAGCTCACTAGTGCATTCTTTTTTTTTTTTTTTTCAAAAATGTTACGAACAGTTGTTTTTGCCACACCGAATGTTTTTGCTATCTCTCTGATGGGTTTGTTTTGGTTTTTCAGCCTAATGATGGCTTGCTTGACTGATCAGCATCTTGAGAGCTGACAGTAACAGATTCCAAATGCAAATAACACACTTGAAATTAACTCTGGACCTTTTATCTGCTCATTGTAATTGGGGTAATGAGAGAATAACACACACTTGGCCATGGAACAGCTTAGAAACCAATTGACCAATTTTTTGGACCCTTAACAAGTGGGTGGCACATATGCAAACTGTTGTATTTCCTACACAGTTCACCTGACTTGAATGCAAATACCATAAAATTAAAGCTGACAGTCTGCAGTTACAGCACATCTTGCTTGTTTCAGTTCACATCCATTGTGTTTGTTGTATAGAGCCAAAATGTTTGAATTGTGTCGATGTCCAAATATTTATGGACCTAACGGTTTATCTTGGTTATGTAAAGAGTGTTAAAATTAAGATATGTGCCGTCTGCTCTAACTATTTTGCATAAAAAAGATGTGTAGTAGATATCTAAACATAGATATATACATTCCTGTATATTTAATTACTAGTCTAGATTTGGACTAGTCTTAGATGTCTTTTAGATTTTTGGCTACAGCCCAAATTCAGCCTTGTTTAAGCCAATCTGTCTATGTTTAGACATCTATTGAATTAGCCATTACACACACACACACACACATAAACACACACACAAATGCTTGCTGGGCTGTAAACAATAAAAACTGCAACTAAGAATCATTTACATGGACATTGGGAGTCCTATTTTAACTTGCTGTTTTTGACTTTGCAGTGTCTGGGAATCGTAGTCGCCTGCATCTTCTGGACTTAGGAAGTTGTGAGTCTGATCTGAGTCAAACCCGAGATGGAGGAAGAGGCCAGTGTTTGTCATTAGGTGCCCTTGGAAATGTCATTTTAGCCTTGGCCAATGGAGCCAAGCATGTGCCATACAGGTATGTACTTTGTTGTTCAATTAATCAATACAAGCCAATAGTGAGAGATGATAGATCTCTGTTAATGGTGGTAATATGTCTAGTGAGTCTTCCTGATCTGCATCTGCAAGGGTTTCATTCTCACCCTCCTGAGATCAATGTAGCCAATTAACCAGCTTCACAGACAGAGAAGGCAGCCAAGTTGAATTGAACTGTGGTGGGATGTATTGATAGGAATGTGGGTCTGGGAGGAATAGATTTATGCTGAAAGGGAATTAAAAAATACTCACCGGAAGGTGGGGTCGTAAATTCAGTGATGCAAGCAGAGAGAATTAATCTTTTTCTTTTAAATGTGGCTTCAGAAAATATCATCCTCCACAACAGAATAAAATAACACTCCAAAAAAGCAGGTCACTAGAAAGTGAGCATCAAAAGGAGGGATATCTTTTATGCAAGTATGATTCATAATCCTCTATTTTAAGACAACCTATCAATGATCTTAGAGGGAATGGGGCTGAATGTTGTAAGGCCTGGCTTCCTTTTTGGCTAACGAGGAGATTTTTTGATGTATAATTCAGAGACAGCAAGCTTACCATGCTGCTGAGGGAATCGCTGGGCAACATCAACTGTAGAACCACCATGATCGCCCACATCTCTGACTCGCCAGCCAATTATGTTGAATCTCTCACCACTGTGCAGCTTGCCTCCCGTATTCACCGCATGAGAAAGAAGAAATCCAAGGTACTTGATTCATACTGATATATTGCTCATTCAGATTGTATATGCTTATGTAAAAATGTCTTTATAAATGTCAAAAATAACTTTAAGACAACACATTGGGTACAGTGCACTAAGCATTATTCTAAAAGTTAAAATTAAGAAAAATATTTTTATATAATTCAAATAATTTAGACCAATAATTATTTTGAAAATGGTTTACAATTAATTGTTGTTGTCAGCATTTTGTCCACACACACACACACACACACACACACACACACACACACACACACACATATATATATATATATATATATATATATATATATATATATATATATATATATATATATATATATATATATATATATTTCTTTTTTTTCTTTTTTTCACATTCTGCAATACATCAAAAATGGTAGATGAGCCTTTTATTTGTCAGGATCATTCACAATTTAAAAAATAATTTGTGTTTTGTCAGAGGCACAAATGTCAACGTGATAATTACACTGCAAAATTTCTCAGTGACCTATGTCATCTAATCAACAAATGTAATCAATGCAATTTTTCCAGAGGGAGAACAGCATGTAACCTTTTCTATCACAGAGGCAATTTTCACCATAATTACCTGTTTTGACTGAATATATTAATATTTTATAGAACTAAAAATAACCTTTTTTCCTGCATAGCTTATGCATTGCATTGACAATATATTTTATTATTGGTGTGTACTTAATTAATACTGTTAATATTGGCATGCTGTTTCAGTTTGCAAGTGGAATGTCTCTGAATTTATTGCGTGCTGTGAAAGAGGTGTCTGCACAGATATATTTATGTGAGTGTTGTGTGTTATTCTCTTCAGTATGCATCAAGTTCCTCTGGAGGGGAGAGCTCCTGTGAAGAGGGACACATCAAACGAAGACCCTTCCACCCTCGGACTGTGGCTCTTGACCCAGACCACCCTGCAGTTTTATCCAGTGATCCAGATTACTCATCCAGTAGTGAGCACTCATGTGATACAGTGATCTATGTTGGGCCTGGTGGGGCCCCTATCTCTGACCGCGAACTCAGCGACAATGAAGGTCCCCCAGCATTTGTTCCTATCATTCCCTCCCTGAACAAGAAGCGTGTAAAAGAGGGATCTAAATCTGATGGGGATCACCTCAAATGTAACACCTTTGCGGAGTTACAAGAACGACTAGAGTGTATTGATGGCAGTGAAAGCACATCTGTTTTCACCAGTGAAGCAAAAGTCCTGCAAACAGCCTTAAAATCTGGAGCGGACAAAGCATCAGAAGGCATTACCTTATTGACAAGGACTGCTAAGTCTTCTCTTCAAAAGCCTACAAACTTGGGAGCTACGTCTGAAATAAACACAACACAGCAAGATTCAGAACCTGTTGTGAGAGGAAAAGTGTTTAGTAGAGGGGCTATACAAAAACCCAATGCCTCTTTCTCCACACAGAACATATCAAAGACGTCAGTTTTGAATACTGAGTGTGGTTTAGCCACAAGGACACCTCCAGTGGGTATGAGCCAGCAAGCCCTTAGACAGGGAGAACAAAATGACTCCCCAATTACTGACAGATCCCAACATCACGGTAGAAGTCCTATGGAGGTGAGCCACTTACGTGCTGCTTTGAGGAACAGGTGCTTCGACAGAGATGTTTTAAGGACTACAGTTACATTGCAGCAACCTGTGGAGCTCAATGGAGAGGATGAACTTGTGTTTACAGTGGTTGAAGAGCTACCTGCTGGTCTGGTTCCAGACAATGGGACACCCTCCAGCATAATTAGCTTCAATAGCAACTGTTCTTTGCAGGCTCTGGCTTCTCACTCACGGCCTGTTAGTATTATCAGCAGTATCAACGATGAGTTTGATGCTTACACATGCCAGTTAAACAAGTCCAATCTGAACCAAGGTGCTTCTGGTGCTTCCAATTCAAAAGAGGAATTTACAGCTGGACATGCAGCACATTCTTCAACTGGTGCTTGGACTTGTAATTCAAATCTTTGTACCCCATGTAGGGATGAAACTGATAGAAGCCACTCATTAAAGGGAGTTTGCAAGGGACTAGTTAGCAGCTCCATGATGGATTTACCTGGTAGATTACATATGGAGTCTGTCTCACAGCAAAGAACAAGAAGTCCACCGGGTGACAGTGGAATTTGCTATTCAGATCAAGGTTATGATTCTGCAACTGTTGATACGTTGTCCATATCTAAGTGCCCTCTAACTCATGACAGTACCAAAGCATCTCTCAAACCAATGAGATCTAATAGACTATTGGCCTCACAATCTGCCCAGATCTCATGCCTCTCTAGTCTCCCTAGAAAAAGCACCCAAATTTCATCTTCAAGTAGTAGCTACAGCCATGAACTGCAACGTCAAGGTAGTAGAATAGATGAACAATGGAGCCACTCTAGCAGTGGGCTGCACTCAGCCAGGAATTCTGAGTTTAGCTCTGTTGGCAAACCACCAAAAAATGGCACAAGTGGAATTCCATCTAGAAAGATAAGTGGGAATAGCAACAGTGTACCTCGCCCTCCCAAAATGCATGCATCGTCCACATCTCAAAGGGTTGTGGATGGTTGTGAAAAGTCCAGTGTTAAGAAAGGGGAGCTGAGCAAGATGCCTCAGCTCAAGCGAGGAGCCACCACTCTTGGGATGGTATCAGTTCCCCATAGCTCCTCTGAATTAAAATGGGGTAATGATGCCTCGCAATCAACTGGTAGCTTAAAATTCTCGTCCCTGGGAAAGAGAGCTAATGGACAGAAGAGTAGCATGATTCCTAAGTCTGGAAGCATGTCACCTCCTGCTCCACCTGTGCGAAAATCCAGCCTTGACCAGAGAACACGGATTTTGTTGTCTCCTAGTGCCTTAAAGTCTGTAGGTAGTGATGGAACAAGACTGTCTTCATCTAAAGCATCTGTTTCTGAAGAGGACTTTGATGTTCGAGGTAAAGGGGATTCCTTTAGCTTTAGATCATCCAGCCTGAAGACAGCTTCGAGTCTCAGATCACACAGTGCTAAAGGAGACAATGGAAGGCATTTTGGTAGTCTTATGTCCCTTGAAAGGTGTGATAGTTTAACCTCAGTGGGTTCCAGACCCGGAACATCAAGAGAGAACAGTAATGTCAGTATCAGTAGCACTGGCAAATCAGCTAAAATGGTGCCAAAACTTGGGGCTTCTTGTCCCTTATCTACACCAACTGCCACTTCCCCTCCATCTACTGGTGGAATTTGTAAGCTTGGACAGATAAAAGCTAGTTTATCTCCTAGAGCCATTGTTGGAAATGGCAACAAAGGAAAAACCTTGTCAAGTACTGGTTCAAAGTCTATTAGCTCATCCACCAAGTTCCTTGCCACCTCAGCCACTCGGAATGCAAGTCTACCTCCAACTGGAAAAACCCCAACTAGGTCTGTCACGAGTTCCAGTACTAAACAAGGAAGGGGCACTATTATGGGCACAAAGCAAGCGCTCCGTGCAGCCAACAGTCGGGTCAGTGAATTAGCAGTTGGTAGCTCCAAGAAACACCTCAGGGGTTCTGACCAAGCAGATGAAAATAGTGATGCCAGAACTTCCAGTGAAATGCCACCAGCTACCCCTTTGCCCTCTCCGTACAGCAAGATCACTGCCCCTCGCCGACCTCAGCGCTACAGTAGCGGACACGGTAGTGACAACAGCAGTGTACTTAGTGGTGAACTGCCCCCTGCCATGGGACGCACTGCACTTTTTTATCACAGTGGAGGCAGTAGTGGCTATGAGAGCATGATCAGGGACAGTGAAACTACAGGCAGTGCATCTTCTGCCCATGATTCCATGAGTGAGAGTGGAGTGTCCACGACCAGTCGAACAAAGGCCTCAAAATCCCCCAAAAAGAGATCTAATGGTAGGTTTTACTGGCTAGCCACTCAGGGCACTATTTTCTAGTGATCAGTTCAAGATTTAGATTTAGATTCGACTAGTCATCAGAAGTCAGAATAGAGAATAGGTAGTCTTCTATTAACTATCAAGACATAATACTGTGGTCAAATACTTTTATATTACAGTTGAAATTTTAGCTTAAATTAGTATTTAAATACATACTAATAAATATAAGTAAAGCACTCTTTGTAAGTTCTTTTCAGCCTCATACACGAGCTCTAAATTATTTAACTCTAGGTTAGAGCATATGATGTTTATTGTACCCTATGCATACTCTACAGTCAGTGAAAGATTCAAATCTCAAAAATATTTAAAAAGCATGCTCACAAAGTTTGCTGTGCATCTTCGGCCCACATGAAGAGCATTACCATGTGTGACCCCTCCAGGCCTACAGCGGCGCCGTCTGATTCCTGCTCCTCTGCCAGACACCTCTTCCCTGGGCAGGAAAGTTGGTGCAGCAGGACAGTGGGTCGATCTGCCCCCACTGGGTGGTACAATAAAGGAACCTTTTGAGATCAAAGTGTATGAGATTGATGATGTGGAACGCCTTCAGAGACGCAAAGAAGGTTTAACAGAGGTAAGAAATGCTTCTATGCCATAGGTCTCAAACTCGATTCCTGGAGGGATTTAGCTCTGTACAGTTTGACAACACTTTATTTTGATGGTCCATTTGAGTATTAGTAGACTGTCTGCTTAACATCTGTTGATACTGCTCCTTCAACAGACATTAACTGACAGAAACTTTGCAAGTACATGTCAACTTAACCCTAACCTATACCTGAACCTAACAGTCTACTTATAATCTAATAAGAATCAAGGCTGATTTATACTTCTGAGTCAAGCGCATGCGTATGCTACGGCGCAGCCTATGCATTGTCGCATAGCCCAACGCTATGGCTGTCGGTGTTGTTGAGGCTCACCTCTCAAAAAATGTGACTACACGTCGCAATGACGCATATTGCAAGCTCTGTGATTGGTCGGCGTGGTAGTGCTGACCAGTCTGGGCTGGACAGAGAGCCGCACGAGCCCGATGGAGTGATTTATTTATTTATTTTATTTTTATTTTTTTTACAAGTCTGGAGTCCCATCAAGGAGCTCTGCATGGAAAGTTTTGTTTTGTGTTTATCTCATGGTTAAAGTTGTTCCACCGGTTCCTGCCTCAAAATGAGCAAGTTTGGGCCACTTGTACATTAAGGAAACATTCAGGAAAAACAAAACATCAGCAAAGAAACCCGACACAGAGGAACATTAACACCTCATTGCCAACTAGTGTTTCGGAAGTGTTATTGCAGAATAACAGAAACAGCTGGCAAATGTATAAATGCACAGCTACGCGCGTTGCATGCACCGTGGGTCTCGCAAATGTATACACAGAAGTATAAACCAGGCTTTAGTTAGCATGTAGATGCAATGCAACTAAAATTCAACATCAAAATAAAATGTTACCCACAGTTTTGCTTCAACCCTAATCAAACACAGCTGATCCAACTAATCAGTGTGTTGGAGGTGGTTGGAGTGAAGCTATGCAGAGCTGTGGCCCTCCAGGAATTGAGTTTGAGACCACTGTTCTATGCTATTTGTGTGCTAATTGTGTCTTACTCTGTTGTTGTTTCAGTTTATTCAGTTCTATTTGGATTTATTTCTTAAGTATGTACCAGTAATCTGTTGTTAAATGACTAAATTAATGTGTTGAGTAGTTTGAGTAGTGTTGAATAGTTTATGTGGCAAGCAATGCTTTAAAGACAAGGCCTTAACACAAGGCCAATAGAACTAAAGAAAATATCTATGTGGCTAAAATATATTTAAAAGAATCTTACTGTTTGAAATGTGGCACAGACCAGTTTTCAGTTTTCTATTTATGCTCAATTCAAAAGCATTGGGCCATTAGCAATCTGATTTTTTTCTCACATCCTGTGACAAGTGCAGTCACCAGGAATGAAGCTTATCTCTGTGACAATTACTTATGTTGGCTAATTGATTTTAGATTGGACAGATAGCTTTAGTTAGACTTGGGTGACTGGTGTTGTAGAAGAGAGAGAAGTGGAAAGAGATTAGAAAGAGAGAGAGGAAGAGATGGTGAGAGAGATGGAAAGGGAGAGACAGCATTGGGGAGGGGTCAGGGGTGCCCATGATGAATGAGGTGTGGCTCCACAATCTGTGGCCCGCCTGATCGGTCTTTATGGCCCACTCCACACAGCGCGCCCATGGGTCATTAACCGTTTCTCTGTGAGTTTCTAACCCTGATCACACAGTCAATTGTGTGGAGAAGACGAGAGGAAAAGACATTAACTCAGTCGAATGACGCTCTGATTTATTTTCAATTAAGAAAAAATGATCTCAGCTTGCGTATTAGAGCCTGGCCATTTTCTGGTGAAGGATTAGTCTGTTCATCCTCTTGTTTTATGTGAATCTGTATGTGTGTGGGTAGGAGGTTGTATAACTGCTGGGTTTATTTATGTTTCGTGAAATTAAATTGTATTTGCGGTGGGGATAGCATAGTTTTTTCTTCATCTGTAGTTCATAAAACTGATGTATTTGTGGACTGGAAAAAAGGGATTGCGTTTCAAATTTTATCAGTGCTTGCTTTCTAATGACCACCTGTCAATGACAGAATATACATGATAGAATATATACTTATAGCAACTATCTTTTTCTTTATTTATTTACGGTGGGTGCATTTAGGGTGGGTCCAGATTTGGTCCTGGAGAGCCACAGTTCAATTTTGAAACAAATTCTCATGTCTGTACCCTTTTAGTAACCCCTAGACCAGGAGTGTCCAAACTCGGTCCTGGAGTGCCGGTGTCCTGGAGAATTCAGCTCCAACTTGCTTCAACACACCTGCTAGGAAGTTTCTTGTATATCTAGTAGGAGCTTGATTAGCTGGTTCAGGTGTGTTTGATTAGGGTTGGAGCTAAACTCTCCAGCACACTGGCCCTTCAGGATCAAGTTTGGATGACCCTGCTCTAGACCCTGATCAGCTTGTTCAGGTGTTCAGGTTTAGAGTACAACTCTACAGTTGGTTCTTTGGTTGCTCACCTCTGGTTTAGGGGTAAAAGGAAGTTCAAATTACCTGAGCAACTGTATGTTAGTGAACATCTGATGATGCTACAAAGGTTATATTTATTTTTGTTTTTTGAATTAAATTAATGTGTGTTTTAACCTTTGGTGAAATATATCCAGTAATTCAACCACCCAGTAAACAGTTTCTCTTGAACCTGATCTGCCTTTGTAATCCCTTAAGCAAACGTGCCTTCAGAAGTCTAGCAAGTGTTTAACCTGGATGCTAATTTTATTTCCAGCTTTGCCCTAATTAATCTGACCAAAGGGCTAAGGATCTAAATCCTCTGTACAGGTTAGCGAATACTGAATCAATTCGACTTAAGCCAGTTGACTTTAAATCAGCCCTGGGGAGGGAAACACGTAGTCTAACAGGTTGTTTGGGTAGGTACAAGAGGTTTGTGGGTCACTGTGCACAGCTCACGCTGCTGTACTATACTTACAGGGTTTGCAGTACTTCAACGCCCGTCTTAGGATGCTGGAGAAGAGGCAGCAGCAGATCAGGGAGTTAAGAGCCAAGCACGAGAAGCTGAAAAAGGAGTTGGAGGATGCCAAGACTCGACTCATGCTGGACCCCAGCAAATGGATGGGAGAATGTAAGTGTATTATTGTGCATGTAATGGGGTTTTATAATTTTTCATGCTAATAATCTGCAAATGATGGAAGTTTTCTTTAAAAGGGACCTCCTTTTTGTAATTTAAAAAAAAAAATATATATATATATATATATATATATATATATATATATATATATATATATATATATATATATATATATATATTCTCCTCTAAATATCCTCTAAAATTGAAAAAATAAATATATATTATCAATCTCTTGATTTATGTCTATGTGAAGCAGAGCATATGAAATATGATTGAATTAAAAATTGTAATTGTTAGTGTGTAAGTTTAATGCCTTATTATGCAGTTTTTTTTACATTGTCTATTATAGTAGTAAAAAAAAGGTTAGTTAGAACCAGCACGTATTTTGCTATCTACATTCCTTAAAATAGATGTTTTATGTATAACAGAAGAAAATGAAAGACACAATAATACTGCCTTATTATGCAGTTTTTTTTACATTGTCTATTATAGTAGTAAAAAAAAGGTTAGTTAGAACCAGCACGTATTTTGCTATCTACATTCCTTAAAATAGATGTTTTATGTATAACAGAAGAAAATGAAAGACACAATAATACATAAAAGTCTTCATACAGGTTGATGTGCTTTTAGACAAAAGGACTTTCATTAGCCAATTTTACTGTGATGTTCTACCAAGCATCAAAGGCAGGAGTGATTAATTTTACCATGCATCTTACACCGCATAAGTTTCCCAGTAATGTGATGTAGACTAATGGCTCCATTTATGACTTTAATTTAAGAGTTTGAACTTAGTGCCAGTGAATTTACAAGAAAACGCTGATGCAATGGTGATCTGCAGACACGCCTTGAGCACTGGCTACTTTGAAATGGTGCTTGAAACTATGTATTACAATAATGGATGACATTGGCTTTCTAGAATTTTCTCCATAAACCTAAACTGTAAAATGGTTTGTTGAGGTTTTTGTAGCTGTAATTCTCTTTTATTGTTGCTGCTTTCAACACTTTAGCTGTAAGAACAAACTATGAACACAAATGTAACAACGTTTAACCTTCATGTTAGCAATGAGCTATTGGTTTATCATCAGATTGCAGGGTTTTCTCAAACAAATACAGACCTTTAATATCACAAAAACATGATTTGAAGGAAGTTAAGCTACATCATGTCATTAATATTTACTTATTGAGAATAAAAACGAACACTGCCAGCAGCCATAGAAGCTCTGTTGAGGCTATAACTCAGTTTTATTTTGTATTCGTTTTTCAGTTTCAGTTAAGAATAATGAGAATTACAACTGTTAAAAAACAGCCATCCAACAACCTTGATATTGAAAAGTATATGTCTCCGGTGTGCTAGAAGAAATGCTTTTGTAAACAGTATGTGGGAGAGGAATCGCAGGCTATAAAAGAATAATGTAGAGCAAATGGTAGACGAACAGAGAGAGGGAGTGAATATGCGTGTCTGTGTGTGTTCTCGAATCAATAAGGTATTATTTTTTCCCTTCTGCAATCACTACCTGCCCACTGGCCAGGTGATGTTAACCATTCATCTGTGACTGCTGTCTTGGGTAAAGCTATGATTGGGACTGTCATGCTGTAAAAATCAGCCCTTCTTCAGAGCCCAGTAAAATGAGGATGGTGTTTCTGCAAGCTCACACACCAACCAAGCATCACACGCACAGATTTTTGTTTATGTCTTGAGTGATTAAACTATCAATCTAGGTGAGTCAGTAGTGCCACAGCCTGATGCGGTTAGCCTCATCTTTATTATGTAGTACAATATTGTGGCTTTTGCGGATTTTATTCTGGTATTTTTTTTTTTATTAGGGCTGTCTAAATTGACAGTATGCAAATAATATATAACAGTGAAATTAACTGATCAAACTGTTCACACAAATCAATACTTTGTAAGAAAAGCTTCCTATACAAAAGTAACTTTTTAAATCACAATGAATACCTGTATAAATATATATGAATACACAATGAATACGTGTATAGAAATATACATTTCTAATTAATGTATAAAATAAAGCCTATAACATTGATTGATTGATTGATTGATTGATTGATTGATTGATTGATTGATCGATCGATTGATCGATTGATCGATTGGCAAGTTTAATTTGCATATTTAAATGGAAACATAGCTAAAGTGACTCTTAAAGCTCGCTGTTGGAAGGAAAGAAATGAGCCTAACTGCTCAATATTGTTCTTTACCTACATGAAATGTTTCAACATCCATTCTTGCAAGTATTATTATACAGTGAAGCAAAACATAAATAAATAAATTATTTTTTTTATATTATGATTCTTACTATACATTTCTGCACATTACCTTTCTTAGGATGTTATTGTTTTTACAAAAGTGGTCTAACTGCACAGTTTTGCCCTGAGACAATAAATGAACTATCCTTTTAGTATATAGAAAAATAATAACAAAAAGTATCTTTTCTCAATCAAATATGCTTCTTCACATATCTGTGCACATCACGCATATTTTTAATTTGAAGATTTTTAAATTTAAACATGTTAAAAAGTCAAATCTAATTTACATTCTTTTAGCGTTGTGCTCAAGCAGGCTATGGTCACAAAAATGGCTTTTTTTGCCCCAAGAAGAAAGGTTAAACCCACACCCACCTCAAATTCTATTGTTCACCAACTTATTATTAGAACTTTTTTGTGATCTTTTATTTTAAAAATTTAAAGGGTTTTTTTTTTGGGCCCAAAAACTGGTTTATTGCCTGAGGGCAAACACTGCCATAAAGAATGTCAATGATTTAACTATAACATGAACATGAAAAAGGCATTACGGGTTGCAGTGATTTAATAGTGTATTAGTAAATGTCCAAACTAAAATGCATTAATGCTTTAGAAGCATTAGATATTTCATGCCAACTAGCAGTCATTAAAATGATAGTTCACAAAGAAACTTAAACATCTTTTGAACTAGTGACGGGTAACTAATGATGACAGAACTTTCAACCTTTTAAAAAGACTGTTGGTTTGATGGTCCATCAACAGACTTTGGCACTAATAAACAGAGAGCATGGTTAAATTAACCCAGTTTTAAATGAACAGTTTTGTTTTTCTTCTTTGCCCAGTTGATGTAGACCCAGATCTGGACCAGGAGTCACATGACTACCTGCAAGCTCTGGCTCAGGCCACAGGAGACCTGGAGTTTTGTGTCAACCTATGCAAGTCTCGCGTGATGATGGAGACCTGCTTCGATATCGCAGTGCCCGCGATTCCAGGACAGAGTGGACAACAGGAGATGGAGGTTTAGAAGAGAATAAAACAAGATGCTATTTGCAAGCTAGCTGTGAGTTATGGCAAGAACATGTTTTTTTTTTTTAAAGACTGACCTGCTTCGAGTAATGCAACAGTTGACGGTAATGAACATGCATGGGAATACCATGAAATGCTGAGAAACAAAGAGACTACAGAATAAGAGTAAGATCGTGTCCTGAGATCTTCACTAACGTTACCAGAAAGTGCCTTAAACCAAAAAATATCAGATGAAATAAATAAATAAAAAAATCCCTAGAATTATCTTTGTTTTTAAGATTGGTGCTAGTACTGAAACCAACTTTCCCAAGTACACTTTGAAAAACAAAGTATTGTGCATTGCAATGCAATGTATTGTGTATTTATAAGCTAAAGTGTGTAAAAATATAGTTTTAAGTATTTTCAATTACGCTGAGAGAAATTCCCCATAATATTGCCTTTTTAATGTATAATTATCTGTTCAACTTCAACATGCAATGCTTCTTCTGATTCTGAAGCATTGTGGTTAATCTTATTTAGTTACAGTCTCTGCATGAAGGCCTTGATATACTTGAAGCAAAATCAAAGAACTAATAGGTGAGATGTCTTTAGAACTAATTCAGCCTAAAATTTACTCTATCTTCAAAACTATTGGTCTGTGATGATGATGTATTAGGTGGGTGTGGCTATGAGGCTCCGCCTCTTCTTGTGTGCAAATAATCTCTAGTTAGGACTGTAGGTGCGTTCTACTTGAACCATGGCTGCAACCAACAACCGAGCACAGGCAGGGGCTGAGCTGAAAACAAGGCTGTCAGGTCGGACACCTCAGGGCTTCGTAGTTTGCTGCATGATGACAAATCAAATAGCGAGATCAATGATTTTATTTATTTATTTATTAATCCAGTCACATTAATCCAAAAAGATTGAACAAAAGGACATTCCCAAAATAAGTGAGCTAAACTTTCAGTGGAAATTTCACAGAAAAAAGCTAGATAAGCAATGTTACTCTTAAATGTATGTATAAATGGCCCGACAGGATAAAACTATTTAATAAATATCTAAATTATTTTAGAACTATTTAAAGAATAATTATTTATCTAAATTTGAAACCGTCATGGGGTGGCACGATCAATTATGATCAGTTAAATTACAAGTCTGTAAGACTTATTTGAGTTGATATTTGGTCATTCTCTAAAAATATGGAAGCTAATTTAAATCATATATGGAGCTGTATAAAGTAAAGGGTCTGTATAAAAACGATCGAAAATAAACCTATGCAAACAATCTAGCCTTTATAAACAAATTATTTAACAAAAAAAAATTTTGCCTACTGCAGTTAAATATTTAAAGTCTTTTAATAAGCATGATGTGTACAAGATATACATGGCATATAAAGTTTGTTTGGAAGTTTGTGAGGCAGAAGTTGTCCAATAATAAACCCGAAACACACTTGGTTGTTGTCATGTGGTGAACTCAGCCAATCTTGTAATATTGGTGTCGTGATCGCAGCTCCTGCAGTTGATCTTCAGGTGCTGCACCGGCTGAATCATTCGTCTGATCTTGGAGTGATGTTGCCATAGTTTGATGCCACATGTGACAGTCACGTGGCGTCGACGCAGAGCTGCATGATGTTGAACGCACTGAGTCTCTAGTCTGTGTGAAATTAAAAACATTTATTTTACAAGTGCACATACTCATTAAGTCAACAAATAAACCTTGCAAGTCAATTCACTCAATAATATTTTTTTGTGTTGGTAATTGTCTAAGTCTTACCCTTTGCTTCTGTATTTGGACTGGCTGTGCTTTTCTAAAGACGTCAGTATTCTTATTCTTGCCCCTCTTACTATTACTATGTGGGAATGATGCGCTAAAGGAAAGTCACGCTCCTACTCAATATTCTGTTTCAGTTGAAAGTACATCAACACACTGAAATAAAAGTCTCAGCAACTTCCTGTTAATGCAGACTTTTATTTCATCAGTTCTATTTACTGAGGTCAGACATCTTTGAGCAAAAGCATGAACAAACTTGAGAGCTGTTTTATAGTTAAAAAGGAAAGCGGCACTAGCTTTTTGTTTCTGGTAAGTTGCTTTGTTTAAAGTAATCTGCCATATCACTTCACGAGACACAGATATATATTTTATTTAGCTTAAAATGCTTTTGCCAGAAGCTATTGATTTTTATTTAATGCATAACCAAGGACCACTGTTTCAGCTAAAAATCCTGAAATCTTGAAGGTTTAATGTTGAAATCCTCAATGTTCTACTGGAGAAAATCGACACAGACAAAATGGTATTTTAAACTTCTTTTCAAACCTAAAGAAAGAATGAAAAAGACTTTTGCTTTGAGTATATCTTGGCCTTAATGATTGGCTGTCAGAAGACATGTAATTTCCCCTGGATACAGATTTGCTTCTTTAATTGATCAGTGCAGCTGCCGGCAGAGCAGTAATTAGAGCTCAGCTCAAACACTTCTCAGGACATCTAACCGAAGTGAGTTTGTACTTTGTTATTTGAGTGTGTGTTGTTTGCATCATACTGTAATGTGTGCATGTGTCTGTTCTTCTCTGATCATCATGCAAGCTGGTGTCTTTAATGTGGTAAACAAATCCACTCTATCTACCTGAACTACAAAAGATTATGCCTTTTTTTGCTGAAAATGATCTTCAAAATGATCAGATATACCAACGGCTATCATCTGTTGACAACTTCACAGCACAGGACCTTTTACTCACTGTGTCCAGTGAATTATGTTCAGCTTCTGATGTTAATTTATTATTGTGTTTTTTTTTTTTTTGTCCTGTTAATCCTTAAAGTGTTTCTGCAGAGAAGTGTGAATGCTGTTTCCTATAAAGAAACAAATAGAAGAGATTATTTAAAATGGCAAATGTTTGAAGTAGAGTTTGTGGCTTTTTTGTTTTCTTTTTACAAAAAACATTTTGTTTTCATTGAAAGATTGGTTTATTTTAAAGGAAAATAGACTTTTTTTCCTCAAGTTGCTGCATGACATTTTTTTTTGTCAAATTAATATATGATTTTATTTCTGTTTGATATGTTAATCTGAGATTTATACTGATAATTTATGTTTTAACAGATCTGCCAAGCATTTAGACTTTCAATGTCTATGACATTTTATCAGTGTTCCTGCTTTGTATTGTACAGTTTTTTTATCCTTTTTAAAAACCATGTATAAACTCATAAATTTGCATTAACAAAAAATATGAATAAAGAATGTCTCCTCTTTATAATTCTTTGTGCAAAATGGCTCTTTCATTTATCCAGGATATACTTAAATTAGATTTTTTTTTAAGAATGTTTAGTTGTTTTATTGTAAAGCCACACTAAAATTAGTTTGCGCTTTATGAATTGTAAAACTCTTGCAGGACTTTAGTCAAAGCACCAAGCCTAACTATATACTGGCTTATACTTATTATTCTACATCCCTAAAATTACCCATTTCTAAGCCCACACAGAATCTGCACATGCAGAAATCCGCTGATTTCCACAGATTTTAAGCCCATCATTATGTCTATGTATTTACTTGTGTAAATGTATATTTAGTCAGTTTTTCAAATAATTTTACTAATATTATTATTAGTCATGTAATAATAGTAATATTAAAATGTTCATTTGAATTATTAACAATACCGTTTGTAAAGTAAAATTTTCTGTCTTTTAGTAAATCTATAACAAATGTGCCCAAAGTAGGGCCCACAGGCCAAAGTTGGCCCATTGTAACCTTTGATTTAGCCCACCATCCCATCTGTGAGGAGAGTGACACTGATGAAGTTGGTTGGGGTGAATGCCTTCAACACAGAGATTGTCATCTCTTATTTGATGTAGCCTTTTTTGTTTGATTTATTGCTATTTTAATGTTTCAATTAAATGTTGTAAGTTAATACAATTTTTAAAAATGTAAATGCTGTCATATGACGGATAGAGGACTATGCATTTGCATCGGCGAGGAAATCAAGGCCAAAACTAGTGTAATTGTGTTATACTGTAAATTACATGTTTTTTTTGTTTTTTTTTTACTGTAATAAGTTCATTATAAAATGTTAAAAAATGCTGTATAAATTTAAATAATTTTTTTATAGTAATTTTTAAACATTAGTAAATAAATTAGGAAATTACCCATGGCAACTAGATTTACCTTTGACCCACTATAGCCTCAATCAAGTTTGGTTTTTGACCTTTCATAAGAAAAAGTTTGGGCACCCCTAATGTAATATATGAGTGTTGCTTTGTTTACCAAATAAGTGGATCTAATTGGGTTTGCATTGTAAACATCAAAAGTTAATGATAATTATTATTTATAATTAATTCATGAGTTATATGATAAACTCATTCCACATAAATCTGCATTTTCTTTTTTTTTTTTTTTTTTTTTTACAAAATTCTTAGCAGAAATAGCAAAAAATGTCTGCAGATTTAATTTGGCCCTACCTATTACTTAACCCAGGGGTTTCCAAAATTTTTAGCCCACGACCCCGAAAATAGCAATTTCAGTGTCACCCCACGATCCTCGAAGGTGGTTTTAAACATAGAAACATTGCACAGAATGTCCACACACCAATAGAAACTGCAGTATATAAACATGAACATATTGACAACACAAGAAAGTGCAGCAGTCTAACAACCATATCATTTTTTATAGTCATTATTAATTCGTTTAGGAGATTTTGATTTGCAGATCATCCTCCATGTTCAGTTGTGGCCTTTATTTTTAATGTACGTGAGTGTGTAAAGGTGTTAAAGTTTAACATTGTGCTGTAAAATCAATCTGCTGTTTCTGACTCTATTGCTGTGCCATTAAAATAACATAAACAACCTAGGGGTCACAATCCAATGGAAAAAAGAAATTGAAAAGTTGATGGCTTTTTATTTCCATGTTGTGGTTTTTTATGTAACTATTAAATATTATTTTGTCTTATGTAGGTTATGGATAAAACATGGTAATTCTATTGGTTTAATAATATATATAAGACTTTTGCATATTACCAAGCGACTCCCACTCATTGTCTCGCGACCCCCACTTTGGGAACCACTGACTTAACCCCAACTACATTAATAATAATAATGGGTCATTAATAGTGAGATACTTACCTTAAACTAAAGTGTGACTCTTGTTTCTGACAAATAAGATAGAAGTGGAGTTATTCAGCTTGATATATGACCAGGGTAAACAGCCAATTTACCTTTTCCTATAATCTGAAAAAATAACATTGTCCTGAACAAAGTCAGCTGATAAAGTGTTAAAGAACTAGAACCTTTTTATATGCATTAGTGTTAGCAACAGTAGCTCAAGGATGTAAGATTTCTCCATATAATAGCACTCTACCACTTACAAATCACGTGAGGAAGATCCCATTTCCCCCTGATCATTTCATATGTGCAGCAGAAGAGCCGGCGTGAAGTAATGACTGCTTGACATTAAAGCAATGGTTCACTGTGGACTTGTTAAACTGTTACTGGTCATGAGGGCCCGGTGAAGAGATGCTCCTGCACAGATGGCTGGAGCCAAAACAAATTTGGGAATTTAATCATGCCACAGATTGATCTCCGTCAGGTTTTCAGCCCCATAAATGATGGTATGCTGGGTTCAGTAATTCGTTTAGGCTTTTGGGCTCTGTGAGTCTATAGAATATCATTAGCCACATTGAAGAGACCCGAGAGCTTTAAAAACTCTCTTTATGACTGATTCCATTGGCAGTTCATTCCACCTGTTTTCCTCAGCAGATGGTCTCATCAAAAGGATCGAGATGAAGAAATCTAGTCGTTTATGTCATAGAGCCACCAAGTGACCCTGCTAAATTTGCTGACCAGGAACATTATTTTTCCACTTAAGTGAGAACCTTCTCTGTGTCTCTTCAATTAATCAAAGCAAATCAGTTACAGAAACTCAATTACTAAACTGTGTTCTGCTTAATCTAGTGTATATCAGTGATCTAATTATTTACTGTATTCTGAATGAGACGATATTATGATTTAAGTGTTTACATGTTTCTGTTTCACATATTATTGCAAAAACTGTTAGCTCAGTTTATGAATAGTAATGATCAATAATAACGAGTTATAATTAATTAATAATAATTATTTAACAAAATAAATATAACAATGACTTCACCCGCTTGTTTAAGCAGACTCTGAAATGTTTTTATTTATTTAGGAATGGTTATTATAACTACTTCTTGTGAAGTAAATAAATAGTTTAGAAGTTTTAGTAAACTCAGTCAGCTTGTAGCAAGGCTCTATCGTTAAATTGACTTTTTCTGTGAGGCAAAACAAAGACAATCCAATGTGGTTATATAACGCAATTTATTGACTAGTTATACATACAGTATAACAAACAAACCTACAAAACATAACAAAAACAAAAAGAAAGAAAGAAAGAAAGAGAAAGAAAGAAAGAAAGAAAGAAAGAAAGAAAGAAAGAAAGAAAGAAAGAAAGAAAGAAAGAAAGCAATGAAATAAATAAATAAATTTAGATCAAAGAATGGCAAATCTAACTCAGATCATGTGATCTGACCAGGCCAATTGAGTGAGCACACTTTTGTTCTGGCCAATAAAAGAAAACAAACAAAAAGAAGCGCTGACAAGTGGGATAATGGCATCTGCTGCTTCAGAAGCATTAAGAGACAAATTAATATCAAAGAAAAATAGCATTTGTAATATGACTTTGGTTTCAAAGTCACAGACAGCGAACAAAAACAGGTAATTTTTAAGAGCTGTCAATTATTAAGCTGAACCTTGAATTAATTGTAAATCAAATCGCAATGTCTGTCAAAAAAATTGCTATTAGATATTTTCCAAAATCGCACAGCCCTAACATTGAGTTTGTTATATTAATTAAATGTTTAATATGTACCTGCCATTCAGCAGCCAATAAAACGGGTTTGGCAATAAACAAATACTTCTACTATAAGCGTCTCTGTCTGTCTTGCTCTGTTCATTATATACATGGATGGGGGAGGGCAGGTTCAAAAGCAGACAGTCCAACCCTCAGGCTCTGAATGTGATTGAGTTCTCCGTCACTCTCTGTGAATATGTGCAACAGAGATGAACAAAACAGAGCTGGAGTCTGGTATTTCAATTCCATCCTCTGACACAATGCAACGTCTTGCATTTATATTGAAATCTACAATAAATGGGAAAACACTTTGAAATGCATGATAGAATGCATGAATACTCTTAGGACATTGGTGATGTAAAGTCACGGCGACTATGTTTTCTGCAGACTAAAGCAGTAACTAAATTTCAATGTGCATACATGTGAAACAAGTTGTTAATGCATATAATAATGAAAAAGGTTTTACAAGCAACAAAATCATAGTTTATTCTGACTTCTTCAGCTTTGTGGATTTGAATTTGACAGATATTATGCAAAGTGAAACATACACAAACATGTGCTTTTTGCTAAGCTTTACTTTGTGCTTTAAATTTACTTCTTGCCCATGCCTGTACATTATAATTATGTTTAATTTTGTTGCATTTAATATTGCATTTATTTATTTATTTATTTATTTATTTATTTATTTATTTATTTATTTATTTATTTATTTATTTTATCTTTTGTTTGTTATTGTTAATGTTAATTGAGTTAATGTTGCTCATACTTGTGGTGCATGCCTGTTCATTAGATTATTTTTCTCATTTTTAATTTTTATTTTAATGCATTTAATTTAATATTTATGATCCATGCCTCTTGGTTTGACATTATGGTCAATTACATTGCATCTACATGCCAACTAATTCTCATTAGATTATAAGTAGACTGTTAGGTTGGGGTTAGGAGTTGACAAAGTTTCACTTGCAAAATTTCTTATAGTCAGTTAAATGTCTGTAGAAGGAGCAGTATCATCAGATATTAAGCTGACAGTCTACTACTCAAATGGACCATCAAAATAAAGTGTTACCTATATTATTGTTGAGACTTTATTGTTTACCTATTTATATGTGAATTACTGATTTGTAAACAATCAGGATGCGCATGCATCGAGATTGCAGAAAAAAAAAAAAACGGGAGCGCTAGCATTAACAGCGAGGGAATGACATCCGATGCGGTACAGAGTTTGTTGTTGTATTAGAGATAAAATATATTGATTACATATTATATTTATTATTTACATAATGCTTTCAGTGTATTGTAACAGCTTGTCACCCAGTGATAAGCACAGTTATTCTGCGTTCGTCTGAAAGGTACATCTGCGATAGCATCCTCCCAATGAATATTGATAGAAAATGTCAA